AGGCTGTAGTTATTATTTTCAATTGACTGTTTAATCCTGCTATGTATTTCCATTTTCTGCCATTATTATATACTGCGTACATGTTATAGTGTAGGTGACCCGCCTTAGCCTCGTCACTACTTCGTCGAGGTTAGGCTCGGCACTTACATAGTACATGGATTCGGTTGTACTCATACTACACCCTGCACTTCTTGTGCAGATTTTGGAGCCGGTCCCAGCGGCGGCTACTAGTGAGTTCGGATTGGACAGCCTGCGAAGACTTGAGGTACAACTGCTCATCGCCCGCAACTCCTGGAGTCCCCTTCTTCATTTTTATTTAGCTATGTATCTTCTTTTCAGACAGCTTTATGTTATTTGAGACCCTTATATGTACTATTCTAGTAGCTTGTGCACTTGTGACACCGGGTTCAAGGATGTATTAAACGTTTGGCTGTTTTAGCTTCCGCATTATTTACTTTGGAGTATTGCAGTTAAATCAGTTTGTTAGAAACTAAGCGTCCACCAGACTGTATAGAGAACCAGGTTCTCTATGAGTTTCCACTGAAAATACTAATGAACCAAACTGTATAGTGATCTTGTCCTATATAAGTTCCCACAGTGCTAACTACTGAACCAATATGTAAATGAGACACAGGACAAGTTCCTACTGTATGGAGAACCAGATTCTCTATCAGCTCCTACTGTAAGCAGCAGACTGTAAAACCAACCAGTATAGGGAATCAGGTTCTCTAATTGTTCCGCAATAGCTCGGTAGTAAGTAAAGAACACAAAGGATTTTTACGTGGAAAAATCCCAACTCAAGGGGACAAAAACCACGACCTATACTTGTAGGCTTTCAACTTCACTAACTTGTAAAGCCCTATTACAAGCCACTTTGTAATGACTCTATTACAAAGGATTCAACTAACTTGTGGTACTCTCACCACAAGCCACTTTGTGACTCTCTATTCACAAAGACTTTAACTAACTTGTGATACTCTCACCACAAGCCACTTTGTAATAACTCTATTACAAAGACTTTAATCACTCTAACTTGTAATAATACTATTACAACCCACTTTGTAATAACTCTATTACAAAGGCTTTACAACTCGACTAACTCTAGCCAAGACACAAACTTAGAAGGTTTGTGATTTTGGGTTTCCTAAAACACGACTTCTAAGAAAGAAAGATAGGAGTTACAATGAAGAAGAAATAACAAAGACTCAACAAACCTAAGGACTTAAATAATCTTCGATCTTGGATCAGGTCCTTGAGGTTGCAACAGCTTTGTTCTTGAGAGAGGTTGTGGCAAGCACTTGAGAGAGTATTTTCGTTTCTGATTTTGCAAGCCTTGGAGGAGAATGTCTTGTGCCTTGCACCAGGTTTATACTACAAAAGATTCACCTTAGTGATGTCAAATCTTGGTTAGTACATGCCTCTTCTCAATGGGAAGTAACTGCTGCACTGTCTGCTGAATTGTTGCGTGTACAGTTGCACACAGTCACTTTCTGCAGTTGCTTTCCAGCTGTACAGTTGACTTATACTTCTGTCAGGGGAACACCAAGGTATCAGGTTCCTGTGAATCTAAAGGCACACTGCCCAGATCATCTTGAATGATTGTACCAGGCATGCTTCCGGTCCTTTATCTGGTTCTCTTATGAAGTAAGTTGTTTTACCTTCCTTGATTGTATTTGTACGTGTGTGACATCACTTACAATGATGTAAGAAAGGTAGGTAAAAAGCCTTCCATAGAAAGTTGACTGCTGCACTGTTCCTGTGCAGTAGTGTGTGCAGACAGCAACTTTCCTGCTGGAGAGTTGACTTCATACAGTCTCCTCGGGAACTGGTAGGAACCTGTTTCCTCAGCTGTTCCTTCCACTCAGAAGAGTTGAGTTATATCCCACGCTGGATCCCAACCTGGAACTTTGTGATCTCGAGGTCCTGTAAATGTGTAACAGGTTCCTTATCTGGTTCTGGATGGTAAGTTTGTTAGATCATCAAAACATAAAGTAAAGTACCTATGCCCAAGGTACTTGTAACCTATCAATTTCCCCCTTTTTGATGACGATAAACTTTGAATTGATATCCCCCCTGTGAACTAGATCTCCACATTGTTCCCTCTACGAATCAGCCATATTCCCCATGAGAACCAAACCTAAGGAGCTGATCACAACTGTTTCCTCAAGGCTGTTTGACAAATCATCAAAACTCAAGGTACCATAACTTATCAATACCAATTTCTCCCTTTTTGATGAATGACAAACCCAGAATTATTCCCCCTGAGAATCAGATTCCTTACATGCATTAATCACATCTGGTCCGTGCCCAGTTCGTTGAGAACGTTTGTCATCATCAAAACATGACATAGTGTAACTTAGATCAATTTAAACCTTTTTGATGATGACAAACTCGAAATTATTATTCCTCTTGAGAACCAGATTCCTCACATGTTTCCCTGCGGATCAGACCTATCATCAACATATTATCATCAACGTTCCCCCTGCGAAGCAGAGCCATCTTTCATGCACAACACAACATATCAATTCGATTATGTTCCTCCCCCATGTTGACACTTACATAACATCTTCTTCATTATTCAATTTTAAACTGTTAAAAAGGGTAAATTGTTCTAACGTTGGCTTGCATAGCAAGTGAAATGTTAGGCGCCATCATGGTCCTGACGGTGAGAATTTCGGATCGTCACAAGTGTAAAACAAATTAACCAAAGACAAGAGAAATGCAAATCATACGAGTGGAAAGATACTAATCAAGCTCGGACTCAAGAATAGAGTTTATTAGAAGATTAATACCCAACAAAGGAAATCTAAATCATATGAGAGGAAAGATACCCAATACCTCGTTGCTTGCTACTGAAGATCACTGGAATACCTAGTGGCTTGCTATTCAAGATGTTGAAACTAATTTAGTTTCGATACGAGTAGTACAATAGATATGGAAATTGGGACTTTGGATATTAATTTTTTGGTCATTTGTATCCATTTCTATAATCCCAAGACCCAAGAAAAAACTTAATGCTGTGTTAGTTTTAAATTTAGTATTTAAACTATATTTTCAGATAAATATTTATTTGGTACAGTTCGGTATTTCTTCGATTTATTTTTATAAAATTTAAAATATATCCTATTATTCGTTATGGTTATAAGTTTATATAAAAATCTATGATTTTATTAAAAGAAACCTAATAATTAGTGCAGTATAGTTCGATTCGATTACTTTAATTGGTTTTTGAAGACCCATTGACACCCCTACTTGTATTGTATTTAGGAAAAATAAGTACATTGTTCGTGTGGACCAATTGATATAATTGGTGTTGAGTCATCCCTTTTTGTTTTATTGTAGCTTTTCGAGTGGAGTGGGCAAAGGCCAAGAAAAAAGGAAGAGGACCGTCTAAAAGTTCACTTTAAATCTTGAAAATTTATGATAAGAGTTTCATATGTGATTAATTAAGTTAACCACTTGAATATTATTGATGTTTTTAAACTCAAAAGGCTTGACGTATACAGGAGATTGTACCAAACAACAAACTTTTTATGTTCAAGTAGATAATTGGATGCCCTTTCTCCTCCTCAAATTCTGGTGGAAACATGACAGTTAATAGGTTTAGGAAACAAAAGATTTATATATGCTATTATTTTATTTTTTTGTATTTGATTACCATGAAATATTTTCAAGAACAAAAATGCTTTTCTCACTTATGAACGGAAATCATTTTCCTTACAGCTCTACTAATTTTTTTAACTTTATATGTATTAAGCACTTAGATATATTTATTAATATGTAGTACTCAAAAATTTCATGAAAATACCCTCCTATTTTGTTAATATCTATTTTTATATAAATTTTTCTCATACTTTTCGTTCATCAGTCAAATATAATTTTTTTAGGTGAAATACATAAACGGCCCCTTTAAGTTGTCCTCAACTATCAAGTAAACATCTTAACTGACCTCATTTCCGTTAAACACCTCTGATTGGTAAAAGTGTGCATGGTAGATACCTTAGGATGACATGGCAAATCAAGTGCGGCTCACCTAAATTTGAGCCGTGAACTTATTTTATTTTTATGTTCTCTCATTTTTTCCAGATCAAAATTTAATTTTTATGTAGGTCCCACTATAATTTTTATTTTTTCCCACATTATTGTCACTTTCTTCACCGAAAAATTCATCTCCACCGTAATCTTTATGTGGGTCCCACTACATTTTTAAATTTTCTCACATTAAGGACTGAAGCACAACTATATTATCCATAATGGGCACTTAAAAAAGCACAGTCAAAATTATGTCAAGACCCAATTTAACATACTAGCAAGGCAAATAATTGTGTAATTTAGTTATCTTCTGGACTAAATTATTTTCGGATGTGTATCACACGCGATATGGGCTTGCTAGATCGGCATAGGCGGATCCAGGATTTGAGGTTTATGGGTTCCTATCGTAATTTCAAATTAATATGCAATAATAACTGAATTCACATTTAGATATTTACAAATATTTAGTAAACTTCTTAATATAATTAATACATAGTCAATTCTCTAGGTTCGCTCCTGTAGATCGAGTATTTATTTGATACACTTGACTTGATAGCCATTTGAAATGTCTAACTAGAAATTAGCTCAATTGAGGTGTTTACCTGATAGTTGAAAAGTCTCAAGACCTCCAATCACCACAATACAAGAACGATGGACTCGATCTACCACAATAGAATCACCTAGCGGTGTAGACACATAAACAGGAACACTCAAGGGATCACTAGGCATGACCAGGTACGGTGCAAAATAAGATGACACATACGAGTATGTAGACCCTGGGTCAAATAACACTGAAGCATCTCTATCACAAACCAGAACGGTNTATATATATATATATATATATATATATATATATATATATATATATATATATATATATATATATATATATCATACCAAACTAACACGAATACTGATTAAATGTGTTATATTTGGACATTGTTGATCCACCAACAACAGATACACACTCACACAAGCTTCAATTAAATTAACTATGTTATTAAGGCCATCAATTAAGTGATTGACAACTCAGGTCATCAGCTGAGGGACACAAATTCACTATTTCTACATTAACTAAGATAATTTACTAAGAAAAAAAGAAAAGGCTTCTTAGTTATGATAGCACTAAACTTATTTTTTTCTCTTAACAATGACCAAGTAAAAACTCATTAACATAAGCCTTGAGATTTACATTAGATGAACCATTTTCCTTCATAGCTTCCTTAGCCAAATCCTTCCATTTCTTGACATTCTTTCTCAATTCCTCTCCTTCCTCACTACCTCCCATTACAATCTCTATACACCTCTCGAACTCGTCTCTTTTAACAATACCTTCTCTATTAGCGTTCACTCTGACACCAATCTTCCAAACATCTTGAATGAGCTTTGCGTTGCAAACTTGATCATTCCAAATCGGGCATGCCACGATAGGCACACCAGAAGCCAAACTCTCTAAAGTCGAATTCCATCCACAATGAGTCAAGAAACAGCCTACAGAAGGGTGTTTTAGGACTTCCATTTGCGAGCACCAACGCACTATTCTCCCAATCTTTTCCAATTCATCTTTACAAGTCAAATTTTCCTCGGGTTTTTCGCCATTTAGGGTTTCTCTAATCACCCACAAAAATGGTCTTCCGCATTTCAACAACCCTTGACCTATCTCTTCCATCCATTGATTTGATATCTCAGCATAGCTACCAAATGCTATGTAAATAACTGATTTATTCGCCCTTGCATCCAACCACTCCATGTAATTATTTTCACTTTCAATCATATCAGCTACGAAAAAATTATCTTTTCGATCTTTCTCATCAAGAAAAGATGAAGGAATTGAAGGGCCAATTCCAACCATAGTTACATTTTTCAAAACCCTCAAAGCATTAAGTTCCAATGCATCAAAAGTATTAACAAGAATTCTTGGATTTTCTTCACTATTTAATATCTCAATTTGCCTTTTAATTGACTCAACTGCCCAATCATTAGACTTCACATCATCAAATACAAACGAAGGAAAATCACTTGAACTAAGTGAAGGCAAACCTGGTAGCTCAATAATTTGATCCTGAGAATCACAATTCTTGAAATAATTAGCAAAATTAGTAAACCGATAATAATAAATATCAAAAACAGTAGCTGGTTGAATCCAAAATAAAGTAGAAGGGATATTAAATTTTTTGGCTACTAAACCAGCCCAATCCATAATAATAGTGTAAATAACACGTGTAAAAGGGCAACCATTTTTTGCCTTGGATTTAATTAAATTGGCAATAAATTCAGAACCATGAATTTTTATTGCTGAATTGAGTAAATGATACTCATCAAATGAACCTTTGAAATTTCCATCATAGCCATCAGAGAAAGGAGCAAAGGTTAATCCTTCTATTTTTGGGAGATTTTTAATGCGATTGAAAGCTGTTAGGCTACAAGATAAAGTGACTTTAACACCTAAATTGATTAATTTTTTGGAAAATTGTAGGGATGGATTAATATGACCTTGGCCTGGAAATATTGCAATAAGAACATGGCATTCATTTTTCAAGTTTTCCATTTGGTGGATTGGGAGAAGGTGAGGGGTGTGAGTGATAGAATTGGTTTTTATAAGACAATTTTGGACATATAGTGACTGATGACGTTTGTGCTGACACCATACATTTTAATTATTCAATTCATGTACTTCATTTGTTTCACTTGATAGTTTGATTTTACATAAAATTTAACAAAAATTAAAGACTTAAAAACTTGTGTTCTTAAATACAACAACAACAATAATGTAGTAGTTCTACATGTGAGGTCTGGGGAGGGTAGAGCGTATGCAGACCTTACCTATACTTAAGAAGGCAGAAAGGATATTTTTGGTAGACCTTCGGTTTAGGAAAAATAAAGGGAAGGGGCAATAACAACAAATCAATCTGACAACTGGAGTGAAAATATAATACTAACACTAGGTAATGCAATCAAATAACCGAAACAAAGGTAGCAACAAGTAATAACATAAATCTAGGGATACGAAAATACACATAAGACACTAAGTGATGTATCAAAGCTACTGTTACAAACAAGGACAGCAGTCGGACAACGCTAGGCTGCCTAACCCTTTACTTTTATTCTCTACCTCCACACCTTAGTGTCTTTTGTGTATTTTCGTATTCCTAAGTTGTATAATAATATTTATTTGGTTATAAATTATTTGAAACTTATGATCTTGAATAAGTCATAATATTTATGTAAAAATGTCTTAATATTTTTGTAACTGTTACGAAACTTAGCTCAAACTAACAATATAGAACAATAAAATAGACAACAATGTAGAGAGGAAGATAGGAGAGAATCTTATTTCTTCTATATATTCAAGTGTATTACAAAATGAGTTCTCATCCTCTATTTATCGTACAACATAGAGGTATACCAAAAGAATTCCATAAGTATGCCATTAAACATTTGAGATCATGGAGGAAGATCATGGGTAGGTTATGAAGGTGAGGGAGTTACAACAATAATGGTGAGAAGTAGTGGGGGTTATCTACATAATGGAGTGTGACGACCCAAAGGGTCATCATCGGATTTCTCTCTTTTCCGTGCTTTCGAGGCCTTGAAAACCTCGCTTTTAGTTGCCTCGATTTGCGTGCGCAGTCCGGGCGCGAAGCCGGAAAGCTTTTATGTTGAAATATGTGAACTTTGTGAAAAATTTGAAGAATTTTGATATTAATATTGCTAAAGTTGACTTTGGTCAATATTTTTGGTAAACGGACCCAGACCCGTGATTAGGCGATCCCGGAGGGTCCGTAGAAAAATATGAGACTCGGGCATATGCCCGGAGTCGAATTTCGAGGTCGAGAGCCCGAGAAATGAATTTTTCTATGTTTCGTGATCGCAAAATCTTGGCTCGCCTGAGCATCGGGAACGTGAAGGGTAATGACATTGGCCCCTCCCAGGCCTCCTTTACCATATGCGAACGCATCCCCTTCACGCGAATGCGAANAGATTTGGGAAGACGGGCAAGCTTAGCCCTAGGTTCATTGGCCCATTTGAGATTCTCGATCGTGTGGGAGAGGTGGCTTACAGACTTGCCTTGCCGCCCAGCTTGTCAGCCGTGCATCCAGTGTTTCATGTGTCCATGCTTCGGAGGTATCACGGCGATCCAGCCCACGTGTTAGATTTCAGCACTGTCCAGTTGGACAAGGATCTGTCTTACGAGGAGGAGCCGGTAGCTATTCTAGACCGGCAGGTTCGACAGTTGAGGTCGAAGAGGTTTTCCTTCAGTGCGTGTCCAGTGGAGAGGTCAGCCTCCTGAGGCATCGACCTGGGAGTCCAAGTCTGATATGCGGAGCCGTTATCCTCATCTATTTCCCGACTCAGGTACTTCTTTCTTTTGTCCGTTCGAGGACGAACAGTTGTTTTAGAGGTGGAGAATGTGACGACCCAAAGGGTCATCACCGGATTTCTCTCTTTTCCGTGCTTCCGAGGCCTTGAAAACCTCACTTTTAGTTGCCTCGATTTGCGTGCACAGTCCGGGCGCGATGCCGGAAAGCTTTTATGTTGAAATATGTGAACTTTGTGAAAAATTTGAAGAATTTTGATATTAATATTGCTAAAGTTGACTTTGGTCAATATTTTTGGTAAACGGACCCAGACCCGTGATTAGGCGATCCCGGAGGGTCCGTAGAAAAATATGAGACTCGGGCATATGCCCGGAGTCGAATTTCGAGGTCGAGAGCCCGAGAAATGAATTTTTCTGTGAAATTGTTTTTCTGAAATTATTAAGGAAAATGGAAATGAAAATTGATTAAAAGACTATGGTATCGGGCTCGTATTTTGGTTCAGACGCCCGGTACAAGTCTTAAATATGTGTTAAGCGCTTTCTGTAAAGTTTGGTCGAAATCGGATGTCATTTGACGTGTTTCGGACCTAAATATCTAAACTTTTAAGTTATGAAGTTTGAAATGAAAATGATGATCTTGAGGCTTGATTCGATGGTTTTTGATGTTATTTTGGCGATTTGATCGCTCGAGTAAGTTCGTAGGATGTTATTGAGTTAGTGTGTGTGTTTGGTTGGGAGCCCCGAGGGGTCGGGAGTGATTCGGAGGTGGTTCGGGGTAATTTTACACCTAGAAAACATAGCAGATTATCTGCAATTTTTGCACAGCAAATCCCTTCTTCGCGTTCGCGTTCTAAACACGTGTTAGCGAAGCTTCAGTGGTCCCTCTTCATCGCGTTCGCATCCCTCGCCTCGCTTCGCGTAGAGTCATCTGACCTTGAGGGCTTGGTCCTTTTTCTTCTTCGTGTTCGCGGACACTTGACCACGTTCGCGTAGCTTGCCAGACTCCCTTCAGCGCGTTCGCGTTTCCCCTATCACGTTCGCTTATAACAGTTCTTGGACCCCAGCAATTTCCTTCTACGCGTTCGCGTCTGTCTCCACGCGATCGCGATAGCTTACCCAGTTTACCCTTCGCGAACGCGGCCCTCTCCCGCGAACGCGAAGGGCAATTTTGCCCAGCGAATTTTTAAGTTAAAATCAGAACAGTGAACTCGGGATTTTCATAAAAATACACGAACTCCTTTCTTCTCCAAGCACTTAGGCGTCCATTGAAGCTCCCTTTCATCAAACTTCTTGGGTAAGCATTGTTCAACTTGTTTTCTTCAATTTCCTCTATTAATTACTAAATTCCTAGCCCTAAATCATGAATTCAAAGTAGAAAAATGGGGGTTTTGGGTAGAGTTAGGGCTTTGGGGATTTTGGGTGATTCAACCTCAGTTTGGGGTCGAATCTTGAAATAAATTATATATTTGAACTCGTGGGGTTATGGGTGATTGGGTTTTGGTCCGAGCCTCGTGTTTGGACCATGTGGGACCGGTGTCGAATTTTGGTGTTTTTGGAAGAAATGATAGGAATTTCATTTCTAGGCTATGGGATTATGTTTTTGAGCCCTTATTGATATTATTGAACTAATTATGCCTAGATATCATTGTTTCGGAGTTGGATTGTAGAGGAAAGGCGGTATTAGTGAATTGATTGCTATTCTTGGACCGAGGTAAGTGTTTGTTCTAACTTTGGCTTGAGGGAATAGGATTAGGATGTTATTTGCTACTTGCTAAATGTGGAGTATGGTGTATAGGCATGGTGACGGTTGTCTATGCACCGGAGTCTAGCATGACCGTGAGTCTTAATTGCTTTTAATTCGAATGATGCGACACGACTTCCTTGTTTAATTGATAAATTTCATATAATGTGAACGGTTGAGGAGGAATTGTGATTGGTATATTTTGGAGCGTTGGCTCGAACAAGAATTTGTGATAGTTGAGAAAGAAGTGATTTAAAAGAGGATGTGTTGTGATTTTTCCCTTGCCGGGACGTGTAGACTATTATTATGTACTCTCCCTTGCCGGGATATTTGGGTTGTTAGTTGTACCCTTGCCGGGTTAAAGTGTTACGTTATCGAATTCCCCTAATGGGGCCTTCTTTAGAAAGTCAGATATTTTGAACTATAATAATTAATGGGATCGTGTGGCTAACGCCGTTCACTTAACCTCTATAATATGGGATTCGTGTGTCCCCACTTATATATATATATATATATATATATATATATATATATATATATATATATATATTATATTATATATAATGAAATGGGATCGTTGGCACGCCGTCCACTTATACTCTATATATGGGATCGTGTGGCATGCCGTCCACTTATATAATATATATATATATTATATATATATATATATATATTATGAAATGGGATCGTGTGGCACGCCGTTGACTTTTATATTATGAAATGGGATCTTGTGGCAGCCGTCCACTTATGAATTAAGAAATGGGATCGTGTGGCGCGCCGACCACTTATATATATGAGCTATGGTATTGAGATAGTTTCGTCGTTATATTCCGTGGATCTGTATTCGCTGTATTTTCCGCGAGCATGCCCCTTCCCCTTTTTAGTTGACATTCTTTGTTGTTATTTTCTGTTGCCTTGTTATATTATATATCTGTACAGGTTGTTTTTGGTAGGTCCTGTCTAGCCTCGTCACTACTTCGCCGGGGTATAGTAGGCACTTACCAGCACATGGGTCGTTGTGCTAATGCTACAACTTCTGTGCTTTTTGTACAGATCATAGTACGGAGCAGGGAGCCTTTGGTCAGCAGTAGGAGCGTTGGGAGCTTACTTCAAGTACGGAGATTTTCGAGGTAGCTTGCTGGCGTCCGCATGGCCCGGAGTCTCTCTTATTTCTGTCTTTCGTTTGATTTCCCTTGTATCGGATCAGACAGTACTGTATTCTTATTCAGACTTTGTTTTTAGCATTTAAGTAGAAGTTCGTGAGTAGTGACACCAGATCTGGGTAGAGGGTGTATTTGAAATTCCGCACTTGTTTCTGTATTTATGTTTCGAAACTTCCGCTTTTATATTAATTGCCTCGTTCTTCTTTCGACTGAATAATGATGTTGAGAGAAATGTTAAACTAATTGGCTGCCTAGCTCCTATAGTAGGCGCCATCACGACTCCCGAGGGTGGGAAAATCCG